CACTCCCCTGAAAGCGCTCTTGTCAGGATCACTAATGTCTCCTTCTTGGGTTATTCTCTAAATCTGCCTCACTTTCAGCAGCGTTAGGCATGACTCTCTGCCTCCATTTTTGTAGTTTCTTCTGCACTCCTCCGCCATATGCCGGAACGCCGGGCTCTGCTTGAGCCTTCTCCTCCATCTACACTCTCTCTTGAGAAGGAATCCACTCTCAAGACACAACATATTGCCCTAACCGGTTTGGCTCAGTGGATAGAGCATTGGCCTGCGGACTGAAAGGTCCCAGGTTTGATTCCGGCCAAGGGCATGTACCTTGGTTGCGGTCACATCCCCAGTAGGAGGTGTGCAGGAGGCAGCTGATCGATGTTTCTCTCTCATCGATGTTTCTAACTCTCTATCTCTCTCCCTTCCTCTCTGTAAAAAAATCAATAAAATATATTTAAAAAAAAAAAAAAGACACAACATATTATCTACATGCTCCCCCACTTCTCAAAGTATATCCCCAGCCCCAACTTCTCCCCGTAGTTTTACATTTCACAATTAATGTACCTAAAAACTCCTGACTCGTCCCACTACCTTTTCATATCCCCGTTTCCTGCTCTGAGTAAATCATACCATCCCCCTGGCAGCAAAACCTGGACACCACACTTGGCTGCTTCCTTCCCTGCACCTCCATGTCCTACAAAATATACTTCAAACCCATCCACATCTCCCCAGCTTTCCTGACACCACCCTAGCCTACGCCACCATCATTTCTTGCCCGGACCATGAAAAACGCATTCTAATGAGTCTTCCTGATTTCACTGTTGCCCACCCACAGTCCATTCTCTAAAATTCAGCCATCATTTCACTCCTGTTTTAAAACTCTACATGGCTTCCCAAATAAACTCCAAATGCCTACTGACAAGACCTGACACAATGTGGCCACTGGCCATCTCTCCATAAGCAGCGCCCTTCCCCTCTCACTGGCCTCAGTCCAGGTGCATTAGTCTTCTTTCTGTTTCTTGAACAAACAAAGCTCTTTCCCAGCTCTTGGTTTTTGGAAGGTCATTGCCTCTCCCCAGAATGTGCTTTCTACAGCTCTTCACATGACTACCTCATATCCTTCAGGTCTCAGTTTAAATGTCTCCTTTTCAGAGGGCCCCTCCCTGACCATTTTATCTCAGTCGTATCCTCTCGTTATTCTCTCCTCATTCTGTTTACTTCCTTCATAACACTTATTATAATTTGTAATGAACTTGGTTATTTATTGGTTTGCATGTTCGTTGTCTATCTCCCAAACAAGAAAGCAAACCACCCTAACCGGTTTGGCTCAGTGGATAGAGCGTCGGCCTGCGGACTCAAGGGTCCCAGGTTTGATTCCGGTCAAGGATGTACCTGGGTTGCGGGCACATCCCCAGTAGGGAGTGTGCAAGAGGCAGCTGATCGATGTTTCTCTCTCATCGATATTTCTACCTCTCTGTTCCTCTCCCTTCCTCTCTGTAAAAAATCAATAAAATATATTAAAAAAAAAAAAAAAAGAAAGCAAACCAGCTCATCTGTCTCATTCACTTTACCCCAGCACCACACAGTAACTGATATATTGGTAATCATTCAATAAATATCTGTCGGCACTCTCCCTCTCAGGAGCACGCCCACACCTTTCTTCCTGCTCAGGCATGCATCTCCTAAACTCTAAGGTCCCCACAAGACTTGCAGCCAGGGGAGCAATGGGCAGCGGTAGTTCACCCTGGCTAGCCACCTCAACCCGTCTCCAAGGTTCCTTTTCTCTGACTTTCCAGTGAGCCACAGCAGCACTGCCTGGGACCATTTCTTTCCTATAACATTTCTAGAGAGCACAGCAGCCCCGCCTAGGCTCCCTCCTGTTGCTTCTTCTATCCTAAGCCCTTCCTTGCTTCACTGTGCCCAGCTTTAATAAATGTACGCTCAAAAAAAACCTGGCCCTAGCTGGTTTGGATAGAGCATCAACCAAGTCTCGGACTGCAGGGTCCCAGGTTCAATTCCAGTCAAGGGCACGTATCTCAGTTGCAGGCTCAATCCCCGTGTGGGAGGCAACCAATCGACATATCGATGTTTCTCTGTCTCTCCCCCTCCACTCGCTCTAAAAATCAATGGAAAAACATATTCCAGTGAGGATTAACAAAAAATAAAATACCATTAAAATAAAATTTTAGAAATAAAAAAATCTGTAAGTCAATTAAGTACTGTCACTAAAAGTCACTACTCTTTTATGGAAAACACATATTCCTGACTAAAGAAGGGACAAACCTCTCTAAATGACTTTATGCCCTAGTTCAATTGGTTACAGCGTCCTCCCAACACCAAGGTTTTGGGTTCAATCCCAGTCAGGTTGAATGCATAAATAAGTAGAACAACTAATAGATGTTTCTTTTTTTTTTAATATATATTTTTATTGATTTCAGAGAGGAAGGGAGAGGGAGAGATAGAAACATCAATGATGAGAGAGAATCATCAATCGGCTGCCTCCTGTAGGCTCCCTACTAGGGATCGAGCCCACAACCCCTGGCATGTGCCCTTGACTGGAATCGAACCCTGGACCCTTCAGTCCACAGGCCAACGCTCTATCCACTGAGCCAAACCGGATAAGGCAACAAATAGATGTCTCTTTCTTTCTCTCCCGCTCTCTCAAATCAATTTTAAAAACAAAATAAAAATAAATAAAGGACTTCAGAATTCAGGATAAAAAATGCTACCTATGGAAATTCATGATGAAGAAGATGTTCAGTGTCTGGTGAAAGGGCTGGTCTAGCCCTTACCCTTACCATTTCTGCATATTCCCGCTGTTCCCCTTCATTGTACATCTCTGGGGGTAGGTTATAAATCCGCAGGATGTTATCAGCACTATTGGTCAAGATGCAGGAACCATCAGGGGCCCTAGGAGTAGGCAAAGGTTAGAAAGCTAGACAGACCTACATTTTCCAAGTGTAGGGCTAGGGCTGAGCCTATGTCTAGGGAGTAAATTCCCCCCAGAACCCTGAGGGAAGTAGAAGACAAAATCCCAGGGGAAACTGAAGTTCAGTCCAGGAGGGATTCTTACTCCTACTCCCACCTCTGGTGAATCCCTCTCCCAGGTGAATGGGGTATTTGGAGGTGAAAATCCTGGTGTGTTTATCTCCCTGCCCCGTTTTCCTTACCACTTACAGCCTTTCAAGAAGTTCTCAGGCTGGGCGCTGAACTCTGACCAGGAACCACTGAGAAACTGAGGTAGTTGGGAGAAGCTGTAGCTCCAAGTGCTGGAAGGAAGATGGGGGACAACAAACCTGAGTCGCCAAAGCAAAGAGGAAACAGGCCTGGAGAACTGGGACTGAGGACCGGAGGGCACGGGACATCTCACACTTCCGTGCATCTCGGATTTCCAATGTCCTCGGCTTCCCTCCGTCAACTGCCACTTACGTGGACCCCTCCTCCTCAGGAACAGGCTCCTCAGACACACCTTCCATGGCTCCTCCGGGCCCCAATTCCTGCCCGTTCGTTTCCTCCGCAGGAAGGCTCACACTTCCAGAAAGTTCTTGCTCCTTGATTCCAGGGCTCAACTCACTGGGAGTGCAAACCCCTGTTTCCGGGGAAGTGGAGAGAGAAGCGGGGTCCCCCTCCTCCGGCTCCTGGGACACAGCTGAGCCAGCCATGGGATCGGGGGACACGCGGGGCGGATCATCGCCTTCGGATGTCAGTGGCATCAGTTCTGGGTCCGTGTTTTTATCCATCGGGGAAGCCTGAGGCGAGAGACGGGCTGAAGCGGGGGCCTTGTCTGCAGACAGGCAGTAGGGCGCTAACGGTGGCTCCTCGGACGTCTTCATACCGCCGAGGAAGCGCGGCAGGCATTGGCCTCGGCCAGGCAGCCCTCTCCCCGCTGGCTGCCAGCTAGCTGCTCCGGCCGCTCCGCTTCAAAATTCACCAGGATCCGCGACGCCGACTCGAGAGACCCACCTGTGCCTCCCTTCCTCTTCCGGGAGGGGGCAGAAGACCCCGAGAATGGAACGTAGCCGCTAGGACACCGACGTTGAAAGCACCGCGGACCTCAGCTGGGTTGGTCCCTACGCGCCACTGGCTCTCGCGAGATCTGGGCCAACCTTCCGATTGGGTCTCCGCATCTCGGCTCAGATTTCGCGGGCGACCCACGGAAGGGGCGGGACCAGGAGTCACCATTCCCATGAAGCCGTGGGGCTTTTGGTGGCTCCTGGGAGTTGTAGTCTGAAAGCGTCTGCCTGGGCGAGAAAAGCCCGGGCTCCCGCGGTCGTTCTTAAAGCGCCTACTTCCCACCTCGGAGGCAGAGGGCGCTAGCGCCATGTTTTATTTTACAGGTTTTGAACTTCATCTCGCCAAGTTCCTCAGACTTTCGTCTCTTCATTCATTAAATAAATATTTATTACTGAGCGCCTAGTTGCTTCCCAGTACTGTACTAAGCCCTGGGACATAAAACAGTGAAAAAGAAGTAGACTAAAGTTAACGCTGCTGTGTATTAAAGGCAAGGAACAAATATTTTCAGATAGTAATAGGGCTTTGATGTAGAGTATTAGGGGAAATACATTAGATTGGGGTCTTAATAAAAGCCTTCCCAAAAGGTGGCCCTTTAGCTGAGAAGAAACTGCCCAACTATCTGGGAGAGAGGTGTTCCAGGCAGAGGGAACCGCAAGTACAAAGGCTTTCTTCCTTCCACCTTCCAATTGGATACAATGGCAGGAGCCTTCCAAAATGGTTTCCACCAATTCTGTCCTCACGACGTTGGCTCGTCTGACTTCCCCATCGCAAAATGTCGGTAACTACGGCACCAATACAGCGGAATCCTGACTCTCCCCGTCTCCTTTCCAGCACGCTCCGCCCGCCGGCACATTGCTTGCCCTTACTTGTCATGGCTACCTCCAGCTTTGTGCCAGTAGTCTCGCAGGGGTTGCTGGGATTGGGATTTCCCCCTCCCATGTGCTCGGACTGGCGCTAAAAGTTTTGAGCTCAAAAGTCCAAAGCCACGGTCCTGGACACAGGTGTTCCCTGGGCCCCCGGGGTCGCCCGGCTTCCGGCCTCGGAGCGTGCTTCCCAGGACGGTGAGACGCTCCCCGAAGCTCAGGTAAGCTCTTGGCAGTGTGATAAGTCCTCTCTGAGTCCAGGAGCTCTCGACCCCGGGTATTTTCAGCGAGGGAGGTGGGGTGCCGGGGACCTGGCGATTTGGCCGGGGGTTCCGGGGAGAGGAGAAGCTTGGCTGGCGGCTATGTTGGCAGGTCTGGGTGTAGATAATGAGGATGTTGGGAACCTGAACGCCTGGGCGGGGAGGTGGAACTTGGGGGAACTTTCCGCTGGCCTAAGGGGTTCTTCCCCACCCACCCATTCCTGTCCCCATGCCAGGGCCGGGAGCGGGGAATCGTTAACACGGTCTGGACCTCCCGGCTCTAGATTTTATTTTTTTATTTATTGTCTAAAGTTTTACGTGTCTCCTTTTCCCCCGATTGACACCACCACCACCACCACCACCCACAGCCCTTCCCACCCCGGGCAAGCCCCCATTGTCCCAGTGTTTCTGTCCACTGTTTATGCTAATGTGCATGCATACCAGTCCTTTGGTTGCTCTCTAACCCGCCCCCCTCCCTTGCCATTTGTCTCTGGATCTATTCTTGTTCATCAAATTATGTTGCCGGCTCTAGATTTTAGAGCCCAGGGTACCCTAGTGAAATTTCGGATGCATCCTGAAATGATTATTCGGGGCGATCTGAGCGCCCACGCTGCTAAGGCAGGTCCCATAACTTCCGGACCTTTGTCCTCCCTGGAATAAATTTTCCAACCGGCTCTGCTAGACGAAGGAAATCCAATCAAATACTGTCAGTCGTGGAAGTGGGGAATGCGAAAGGAGAGGTTTGCCCGCGAAACCCGCGCGCTTTATCCGGGTCTGAGAGGCCCGGAAGCCCTGTTATTGTTTGGCTTTACTTTTACATGTCTGCCACTTGCAGGGCCACTTCCGGTTTCTTCTTTGGGGCAGCTCACATTTACCAGATGGAAGGGAACGAGAAAGAGAGAAAATGCCTTTTAAGCTGGTTCCGCTGACCTGTGGAAGGAAGCTGATAACCCTCTCTTCTATTTTTTCTTTTTTCTTCCTGGACTACTTAATCACGGCTTGCGGGGAGGATGGGCGTCTCTTGTTTTGATGCAGATCTCTCCCCCTCCCCCTCTCTGAATGGTGTGCTCCGGCCTGGGCGCTACCATTGCGCGGGAAGGGTTTTATCTGTTCGTTCGTTTGTCTGTTTTTAAGTGTGCGCAGGGCAACCCCTGGGTATTTTCGCGAGTGAGTACGTTTGAGAATTAAACGATGAAAAAGTGTAACGACAGTTAATTTGCGGCGGAGAAACAATTTGTATGCGGTTTGGACTAAACCATTCCGACTCGGGACGCAGACTGAACGTCCTGAAAGCGGAAGGGGCGGCCCGCCGTCCCTAGTGCAGCGCGCGGGTCCCGGCTAGTTGCTGCCCGCGAGAGGCAGAGCCCCACAACCCCAAGCTTAACCGTTTCCCCCGCATCGTCACCCCTCAATATGCGGTCATGCTTTTCCAGTCGCTGACGGCGCACCTGCTAAAAACCAAGCGCTGCGCGTACCCAGTGTGCTTTTTTAATAAATTGAGGCTGCGTTCATACCCACGGCGATTACATGAGTCTTGGCATCTAACCACCGTGCAACGCCTTTCAATATAGAGTATTGTCATCGTCCCAGAAAAGTTTCTCATGCCTCTTCCCAGTGTATTCTCTGACACCACCACCCCCCTTTATTTTTATTTCTGTTTAGAGAACTTAATATAAATGGAGTCATAACAGTATGTGCTTGTGTCAGGCTTCAGCATGATTTTTGTGAAGCATCCCTATTATTGCATGTATTGGTAGAGTGTCAGTATTTTGATACTTTTTTTATTTAGTATATGACATTGGATTGTTTATTCTCATTTTGATGGCCTCTTGAGTTGTTTCTTGGTTGGGGTTATTTTGAATAAAGCTACTATCAACATTTTTTAATGTCTGTTTTTAAGTATATATATTTTTTACTATATTTTGATTTTTTTTTTTACAGAGAGGAAGGGAGAGGGATAGAGAGTTAGAAACATCATGAGAGAGAAACATCGATCAGCTGCCTCCTGTACACTCCCTACTGGGGATGTGCCCGCAACCAAGGCACATGCCCTTGACCAGAATCGAACCTGGGACCCTTCAGTCGGCAGGCGGACGCTCTATCCACTGTGCCAAATCAGTCAGGGCTGTTTAGGAAATCTTATCTCAAGGTCATGAAGGATACTCTTGTACACTTTCTCACATATTGTCTTCTATAACCTTGATAGTTTTTGGTTTTGGTTGTTTTTGTTTTTCTATGTGGATATCCACTTGTTCTAGCTCTACTTTTTGAAATAGTCTTTCTTTCTCCCACCAAACTGCTTTTAAAATTGAAGTGTTTGGTCCGTTTACATTTAATGCAATTATTGTGAGGTTTGGGTTTAAGTCTGCTGTCTTAATGCTCTTTTCTGTCTGTTTTATTCTTGGTGGGGCCTAAAAATATATTAATACCTCAGACACACACAGGGAGAAGGCCATGTGATGGATGAAAACAGAGATGGGAGTGATGCATCTACAAGTCAAGGAACACCAAGGATTGTCGGAGACCGCCAGCAATTAGAAGAGAGGTATTGAACCCATTCTCTCTAGAGCCTCCAGGAGGAAACAGCTCTGCCAACATCTTGATTCTGGGCCTCTGGCTTCCAGAACTATGAGACGATAAAGTTCTATTGTTTTAAGCCAAAAAAAATTCTAAAATTAATACCTTTCATCTTCTAAGTTCTAGCTGGACTAATAATTAAACAGAGACAGATTAACAGAAGAAAAATCAAAGATTTAATACATGTGCATGGGGACTTCACA